CACTCATAAGTCCGAATGGTAGAAGCCCAAAGGATGACAATATAAAGATACAATATGAAGATCATGTCCCACATTCAACAAATTACTTCATCAAAAATCACTCACCCATAAGGTATCATGTATGTTCGCCTATAACTCTTTAAAAATTTTAAGAGGACCTCAGAGTCTTGTGATTGAAAGCTTGGGTATTTTAGCTTAGGCATATAAGCTGTCCATTTGAAGATTTCACACAAAACAACCCTTGCAATCAAGAATACTTGCCTCTACGAATGGGTCTTCAAGGCAGGTAGCCAACTCATCTTATGCTTGTCCTATTAATGAGAAGCCTAAAAACAAATTTTATTTCAACGAAATTCAGCCTTATTATTGTTTGATCAGTAAGTAAAATGGATCTCAAAAATCCAATAAATGAGCCTGCCTATGATGCAGATCAATTGAGCAGAAAAAACAAAACAAAGTACAAAAGATGATTGTGAAGATGAAGAAAGAAGCAATAAGCCTAGCAAAAAGAACTTGGAGATGACAAAATGAGATGAACATGAATAAATGAAGATGAAGCTATATATCATGAAAAACTAGGGGCTGGCTAGTCTTCTTCTTTTGCAAGGAAGCCCCTGGATCCTCCAATTTCTCATCCAGACACCACCGTCTCCACAACCCTCTCTGAAGCAAAAGATGTTAGCCTTTATACAATGACTCCATTGTAACTCCAAATTCTTGCTGGAAGGAGCTAACTTACCAAACAACTCATTAACATAATTTCTGAAATTTTCTAGAAGCATCATTCTTCCACAGCAATCACTCTCCATATTCCACCCAAACCTTCTCTACTGCCTGGAAGGTGGTGTACGGTTAAAATATGATAAACATGAAGGAAACCTTATGAATCACTCCATACTTATCCAGTCTTGCAAAACTTACTCTAGGAACATGAAACTCGAATATCTAGCAAGACTGTGATCAATCAACATTTGCATAGTTATTAAACTTTGCTCGGAATATACTTCTTCTTGAGCCATCACCCCACAGTTCTCTATTGCCTCGAAGTAGTGAATGGTTAAAATTTAAAACTATACAAAAAATTAAGATAATTAACCTCTTCATACTTCTCTAGGCTTGATAAACTTACATTAGGGACTTGGACCTCGAATTTCTAGCAGCGCTGTGACCCATCACTGGGGACAACCGCACAACTGCAGAATAGAAACAATAAAAAACTCTAAATTCTGCGAGGATAGTGGTAAAATGAATGATCCCGCAAACAAAAACTCACAATTATTGCTGGAAGACGGTTAAAATAAAAACTCAAAATTAGTGGACCGGCCTGGCCAGTCTGGGCCAAAATATTTTTTCTTGGGTTTTTTGGCATTGGGCCACTGTTAGGTGGGTTGGGCTGGGTGTTTTGACGGGGTTTGGGAGCGGGGTAGGAATAAATTAAAAAAGTCTAATTTAATAATAAAAAAATGACCCAACCGGGCCCCCACCAGTTTCAAACCCGGGCCGGTACCGGCCCTTCAGCCCAAATCCCAAGTCCCGCCCAATTCGGGCCCCGGGCCAGGTCCCTGCCGACTAGGGACTAGGGAATGCTTGATCTGCCTTGCTGCTAGTGGTTTTTTTAATATGGAGTACAATATAATGAACGTGTAGTAGATTATTGTGTTGTTTTATGTTTTATTGTTTATACACCTTGCAATCCAATATTAACTTCTTTGACTTTGTATGTATATTAAAAAATGGGAATTGTATATGTTGTGGTAATTGGCCCAATATGGGAGCAGCCCAATACCCCATAAAAAGGAAGGAATCAATACTAACGACCCATGAGGCACGCTGACGCTCATCCGCTGTATGCCTGTATGCGACGCCCGTCGCCTAGAGTTTGGCTCAGGATAGCCAAGGTAGACAAGGGGGCCTCAGATGGAGATGCACGGCTTGGACCGAATGGCATACGGGCCTTGTACTTAGGTCCAGAACCTGGAGACCCTCAGTTACGAGCGTCCGAGACATTTAGCGGGAAAGCTGGATATTGGCGGGAAACACATTAAATGCACCAAATATGCAGGATTTGGTGGTTGGGATACTAGTCACTCATGTCTCTCCACATCATCACTACCGCATACCCCTTGGTAGTATAAATAGTTGCATTTATTTCATAGTTAGGGGTTGACAACTTGTATTCTCTAGCAATACCTTTTTGTTCCCTATACTCATAGCTCATATTAGACGATCGACTCGACCAATCAGTAAGGTGTGCTGTAATTGCTCTTGATTGGTTAATAAGAACTTGATCCACTTACTGTCTCTGTCTATTATCGCTAATTACTCGTGCTATCTCATTATTTAATCCACCAAAATATCCACCGAAACCCAAAGCAAGGTGTTGGGCCCTTGGATTCAGAGGAATTAACCTCAATAGTATAGTTGAATGTTATATAAAGAGAAAAATGTAATACGAAACACAAATTGTTTGTCGTGGAAAATGGAATTTATTTTATGATGAACAGAATAAAAAGTATTAAGAGAATTTTGGGACAGATAATTATGAAATTGTCAAATAAATTAAGGAGGACTTTTAAAATATACAATTGAGTAAATTTTATGAAAATTTGCTTCATTTGCAACGGAGCCAAAGATTCACTATTTTTTGCCTCTTGAATATGATGCAATAAAGCAAAATAACTCATTAAATTGTATGCGCTTCTTTGTTATGAAGCAGCAGTCAGTTCATGCAATTTTCGACGCAATTTTCACCATGGATCGTTCGCAAACAATCTCTATGTGCTAGCTTTAGTACATGGATAAAGTTGTGTACATCAGAATCCCGTTATGCCACCGCAAGTGGGAGCTTTTGCGGCACTAGGGTAATGATGATAATGATGAGTGAATTTTATGAAAAGCACTACAATTGAGTAAATTTTGCGTTAGTTCATGCAATTTTCGACGCAATTTTCACCATGGATCGTTCGGAAACAATCTCTATGTGCTAGCTTTAGTACATGGATAAAGTTGCGTACATCAGACTCCCGTTATGCCACCGCAAGTGGGAGCTTTTGCGGCACTAGGGTAATGATGATAATGATGAGTGAATTTTATGAAAAGCACTACAATTGAGTAAATTTTGCGTCAGTTCATGCAATTTTCGACGCAATTTTCACCATGGATCGTTCGGAAACAATCTCTATGTCTTAGCTTTAGTACATGGATAAAGTTGCGTACATCAGACTCCCTTTATGCCACCGCAAGTGGGAGCTTTTGCGGCACTAGGGTAATGATGATAATGATGAGTGAATTTTATGAAAAGCACTACTAAGAATAAGAGAGTCATGAAATGGTTCCGGGAGTAATAAAGTGTCTCAATTTTATTTTTAAATGGACCGAATAAAAAGTATGAACATTATTTGATTTTCTACCAATCTCTAAATATTTGGATCAAATAAAAAAATCGTAACGTTTAAAATAATAATTAATCTCAGCAATCCATAAAATCAATCTAATGCACAATAAACTATATCTTATATACTTTTTTAATAAATCTTATTTGATGCACTTTTCGAATAAACCTTGTCTGAGACAGTTTGAACGATTGATATTAATTCTTATTTTATACATTAAGATGTCTTCTTATTTCAAGTCCAACCCCTAAATATTTTCCTAATTATAATGTCCTTACATATATCCTTATCAATCTATCATCTACATATATGATATATCCTTAATCCTTATGCTTTAGATTACGATAACAAATACAAACGTGGATAAATTTGATTTTCTACCAATCTCTTATGTTTTTATTTCTCTTCTGCGATGAATCCAATAGATAAAATATAATCCTATTTAAAAAGCATATATTGGTGAATTGAAAAAATACACTACGTACGTAACACAAGAATAATAGACAAGAAGCCCACATACACAATCAACCACTTCAGCTATTCTCCAACTCTAAAGTAACAAATCCATAAAATAAATTTCACTCGAGAACATCTAAAAAGAATGTGTTTTAGAAGTATTGTACTCACAATAGTCAAGAATATACAAAAAGAACGTTTTTTAGAATTATTGTATGATTTATATCATCTTTACATACAGTATTGGCTTCAATAATTGGTAGTACAAGAAATTCGAAGCTACGGAGTGGTATAGTACCCAAACTTAAAATTGGCTTATTGGCTCAAACACCTCGAACCAAAAATAAGAAAGAAGATTACACAACACTCAACAGGAGTGATAGGTCAGACAATATTTTCTAAGTTCTACTCCAAATATAGTGATAACTGATAAGGGATGGGAGTATTGATGGACTCGGGCCGGGTCGGGCCCGGGCCGGGCCTAGGCCCGTTCGGGCCGCCGGGTAGTATAACATGGGCCCGGGACCGGCCCGAGGGTTGGACGGGTCCGGTCCGGGCCGGGTCACCCGCCCGGGTCACGGGTCGGGTCCGGTTCGGGCCGGGCCGGTTAAATTTTTTTTTTATATAATTTATATTTTATAGTTTATAGTTTTATACGAGTATTAAAAACAAACTTCAATTGCATTTATTTGAAATGAAATAGGAACTACATTTGAAAATTAAAACAAACTTTAACAGATAAACATTTTGAAAATTGTAATCAATCGGAACTTCCCGCACCTCCCGATCCTTTGGCTTTGTCACATGACTTCATATGCTTGATTGTCATTCCGAATCCGCCAGAAACCCCCATGCTACATTTTTTCTCGCACCATTTGCAAATTGCGTACCACATCCCGGTCTTCGGGTCCTTCTGCTTAGGGGTGGATTCGGGCCGGGTCGGGCCCGGGCCGGGCCTAGGCCCGCTCGGGCCACCGGTTCTAGAATAGTGGGCCCGGGACCGGCCCGAGGGTTGGACGGGTCCGGTTCGGGCCGGGCCACCCGCCCGGGTCACGGGTCGGGCCACCCGCCGGGCCGGGTAATTTTTTTTTTTAAATTTATATTTTATACTTTATAGTTTTATACAAGTATTAAAAAACAAACTTCAAGTGCATTTATTTGAAATGAAATAGGAACTACATTTGAAAATTAAATAGGAACTATAATTGTTTTTAATCGGAATCTCCGGCATAAGTAGAACCACCCTCTGTAGATTCATCCATAAAGTGTTGGGATGGAGTGATGTCAATTTCTTGAGCTCTACGTGCTGCTTTCAACCAATCGTGATAGCATATAAGCATCTCAAGAGATTCAGCGCTCAACCTCGTTCTGGTTTGTGTTAGAACATTGCCGGCCGAACTAAATTCTTGTTCCACGGCAACCGTTGAAACCGGCATTGATAGCACTTGCTTAGCCATCTTTGCTAAAACCGGGAACATTCTTTCTTTTCCCTTCCACCAGTTTAGTACGTCAAAATCATCATCTTCTTCAAAATCAACATCATAAGTTAAATACAAAGAAATCTCATTAATTGTGATTTGTTGTGTAGTGGAAGTTGATTTTGTTTTTTTAATAAGATTGGCAAACGTAGATTTGAAAATTGATTTTCCTTTAGATGATGTTTGTGTCGGAGGAGGCGGCGCATTGCCATATTGTGCATGAAACCCATTGAATAATGCATAAAATATATCACTAACCTCGTTGTATTCTTTTTTCGGATCAATTGGGTTGTCCTCATACATTGGCAATGGACCAAAAAAAGCAGCATAATAATAATTCAAACATTTTTCTAAAGAACCAAGTCTAAAACGAGGATCGAGAACAAATGCAATACCATAAATATGCGGAATATGTGAATAATATTTTAAAAACTTTTCCTTCATAAAACCAGCAAAATAATTCACATAATCAGCATTCTCAAAATTTGAAAAAGCACCGGCGAGATTAACAGCTTCACGAATAAATTGGTTTGAGGTAGGTTTATAAACATGACTAAAAGTTTCAGTTGCATTATTAAAATATATCAAAGCATTACAAATTTTTTCACAGGTGTCGATCTCAGCCGAGTTTATAATATAGTTATCATATTGTTTCATAAAAGCAGGAAAATGTTGTTTATATCTGAGAAGAACTCCAATTAACTTATAGGTACTATTCCAACGAATAGACAAATCTTTTGGAAAAGCCACATATCTCTCACCTCTTTCTATCAAATAATCATGTCATTTTTTCCTAAGGTGTCCATTACCCCAAATACGTCTAATCCCCCCCTTGACTACCTCCAACGATGCTCCCAACGCTTTTAGACCATCTTGCACACATAAATTTAGAACATGACATGCACATCGTTGATGAAAAAATCTACCCATCAAAGAAGTAGAACCACACAATTCACGCAATCTAGGAATAGCAGCAGTATTATTAGTAGCATTATCAAAACCAATAGCAAACACCTTATCAATTAAATTATACTCAATTAAAATACGTTCAATCAAAATATAAATATGTTCAGCGGTGTGACGATCATTAAATTCACGGAAAGCAAGAACACGTTTATGCATATGCCAATCATTATCAATATAATGTACAGTCAGACCCAAATAATGTAAATTATGATAAGTATCCTCCCATATGTCAGAACATACAGTAACACGTCCATCAAAGTTTGCAAAATAATTTTGTAACCTTACCTTTTCCGCACAATAAAGCCTTGAAATTTCTTTCTTAACCGTTTTGCGACTATAACCTCTATATTGCGGATTTAAACAAGTTTGTGCATAATCACGAAAAGCAAGACTTTCAGAAAACAAATAAGGCAAATTTTCTTCAACAAGTAAGTTAGCCATACCTGTCAAATTTTGTGCATCATTGTATGAGAAATTACCAAAAGCTTGTTGGTTATTTGCAAACCTCGATATTTGCGTTTGCTTCCCCGTTCCGCCGCCTAATTTTGCATACTCCACCGAGTGTTTGGACTTAAGGTGTCTTGTGGCGGATCCGTATCCGCCGTAAATCCCCAAGCTATAGTTTTTCTTGCACCAATTGCAAGTTGCGGTCCAATTCCCGGTGTTCGGGTCCTTCCACTTAGAAAAATTATTAGCCATTAATTCAGATCTACTTTTTTTTGTACCTGTTTGGGATGAGGCTGCTTGGTCGGCGTCATGGCTGCCGCCACCCTCCTCCTCCTCGTCGTCGTGGCTCTCCGGAATTGCTTCCTCCACATCGTCGTCCTCGTCCTCGAGCTCTTCTTCGTCAATGGTCCTCGGTTGGTCTTGAAAAAAGCGGGAATTATGTCGGTGCAATTCTTGTTCTAGTTGTTCGTCGGTCATCGCATCCCCATCCCTCCTTACGTAACCCGTATCAAAATCATCTTGACTTTGAGATGAAGAGCCGATATGTGATTTACCTTTGCGGGATCTCTTCCTCGCAAGCTCGTTCGTTCGGTTGCGCTCGAGGTTACCCATATCAACCGAATATCTAGGACGATCCATCTAAAAAATGTAGCAATTAATAAAAAATTGTAAAAAACTAATTAAGTATTTATCTAACTATTAATTCGAGTTATAGCAAATTAAGTAGTGAATTAACTAGTTTTGTGTACAACATTATTTTTAAACTAGAGTCAAATGTAGCAATTAATAAAAAATTGTAAAAAACTAATTAACTATTTATGTAACTATTAATTCGAGTTATAGCAAATTAAGTAGTGAATTAACTAGTTTTGTGTACAACATATTTTTTAAACTAGAGTCAAATGTAGCAATTAATAAAAAATTGTAAAAAACTAATTAAGTATTTATCTAACTATTAATTCGAGTTATAGCAAATTAAGTAGTGAATTAACTAGTTTTGTGTACAACATTATTTTTAAACTAGAGTCAAATGTAACAATTAATAAAAAATTGTAAAAAACTAATTAACTATTTATGTAACTATTAATTCGAGTTATAGCAAATTAAGTAGTGAATTAACTAGTTTTGTGTACAACATATTTTTTAAACTAGAGTCAAATGTAGCAATTAATAAAAAATTGTAAAAAACTAATTAAGTATTTATCTAACTATTAATTCGAGTTATAGCAAATTAAGTAGTGAATTAACTAGTTTTGTGTACAACATTATTTTTAAACTAGAGTCAAATGTAGCAATTAATAAAAAATTGTAAAAAACTAATTAAGTATTTATCTAACTATTAATTCGAGTTATAGCAAATTAAGTAGTGAATTAACTAGTTTTGTGTACAACATATTTTATAAACTAGAGTCAAATGTAGCAATTAATAAAAAATTGTAAAAAAACTAATTAACTATTTATCTAACTATTAATTCGAGTTATAGCAAATTAAGTAGTGAATTAACTAGTTTTGTGTACAACATATTTTTTAATAAAAAAATTGTAATTCCAACTATATTAATAAAAAATCGTAATTCCAACTATATTAATAAAAAATCGTAATTCCAACTATACTAATTAACTAGTAATTAAACAAGTGTAAATAATAGAATAATTTCGTACCTCTTTCGGACTTTCGGTCTTTCGGATGGGAGTAATAGAATGACTTCAAATTAATTAGATATAATTCCAACTATATTAATAGATATAATAAATATATAAGTAATATATAATTAGATAACAAATATAAGTAATATAATACTATTTATATCTATTTATAATTTATATAAGTAGATAATTAATATAAACTATAAATAATAAATATAATATATTGGAGAATGGAGAATAAGAGAATTAGAGAGTAGAGAGTTAAGACTAGGATTTAGGAAGAATTGGAGAAGAGATGAAAAAATGTTTAAGATTAGGAGTATTTATAGGTTTTTTTACCCCCCACCCCCCCCCCCACCACCCCCCACCACCCAACCCCCCGGACCCCCTCTATAACCCACCCAACGGCTATATAGCCGTTTGGGTTGTCCCCAGCCCCACCCCCAACGGCTAGTAGGAGCCCAACCCAAAAAAACTTTTTTTTAAAAAAAAATTGATCGAACCGGACCCGGGGCCGGGTCACAAAAATGCTGAACCGAGCCCGCCCCGCCCCTTCCCCCCAGTTCAGGCCCAGACCCGGTCCCGGACCGCCCGACCGGGCCGGTCCCGGGCCCGCACAGTACCGGGCCGGGCCGGGTCACGGGCCGGGCCGGGTCACGGGCCGGGCCGGGTCACGGGCCGGGTGGCCCGAACCGAATCCATCCGTACTTCTGCTTATCAAAATTATACCGTATAATGGCATCTTGATTTTCCATCTTAACTTCTTAAGTATTAACTATAAAGTAGATATATAAATAATAAATATAATATATTGGAGAATAAGAGAATTAGAGAGTAGAGAGTTAAGAATATGATTTAGGAAGAATTGGAGAAGAGATATGAAAAAATGTTTAAGATTAGGAGTATTTATAGGTTTTTTTACCCCCCACCCCCCACCACCACCCCACCACCAGCCAACCCCCCCGGACCCCCCCTTTACCCCACCCAACGGCTATATAGCCGTTTGGGTTGTCCCCAGCCCCACCCCCAACGGCTAGTAGCCCAAACCAAAAAACAAAAATTTAAATTAGACCGGACCCGGGCCCGGGCCCGACCCGGCTGGGCCGGGTCACAATAATCCAGCACCGAGCCCGCCCCGCCCCTTCCCACCGGTTCGGGTCCATACCCGGTCCCGGACCGCCCGACTGGGCCGGTCCCGGGCCCACACAGTACCGGGCCGGGCCGGGTCACGGGCCGGGTGGCCTGAACCGAATCCATCCCTAGATGGGAGCAGAAGCTCCAACGGAAATGCCCCTGCTATGGCTGTGACAAGATTATAGTATTCATACGCAGGACTCCTGCGGCAGGAGAGCTAATTATCATCTTCATACGGTTGTTATATATATTCTTGATAATGCCCAAAGAGCTTCCAGGGTTCTACTATGAATCGGAGAAGAACGGGTATTTTCCTGTCAAGGGTCCAATCCCTGGCTCTTCTAGGAAACGGAAATCTCCTCCACCGGCCTCCACTGGGAAGGAAAAAGATGAACATACGAGCATGAAAATCTGAAGTAATACTCTTCACCAGGGTAGGGAATTGTGTGGCCAATTGATAACTAACAGGAAAGGGAAGTTCAGTTTTCAAATATCTGGTGGAACAGTCCTTCTGAACCTCAGTGAACCAGTTTATTTAAATCCATTTCTGGTGCAGAGGCCAACGTCTCGAGTTGCCTCTTTTGACTATACAGTTTGGACAGCAGACTGCACCTTTGATGGAAGTCGAGCACTGATAGGCACAAATATGGGAGCTGCTCTGGTAAATGAGGAGTTTGTTGACAGGTAATTGGGAATGACTAGTATTATTTCACTAGGCGCAGGTCTTAACTTTGAGGAGTCACGCCTGATATAGTAAATATGCTACCTAGGAATTAGTATCCTCTCTGAGTCTTGTACATCGGGAAACAATTAGAGATGATATTTTTGTATGTGCACACTAGCTTTTATACTTCATAACATTTACTCATTGGAAAAAGGAGCAGATGCTTTTGAACAAAAAAAAACCGTGACAAGGAACAGAGCTCAAGACACCAGCTTGAAAAGCAAATACTATAATGTAGCATACCAATGTTAGGTGAAAGCAAAATATCACTGCTCAACTTTTTTTTACATATAACCTTCTGTAAACTTTGGAGCCTTCAAATTCAGCATGGATCTCCCTTTCCGTCCTTATCCCCATGGGATTATTCAATACCCATCCATTACTGTCACATAGTACATTAGAATCAACACTGTCTATGTGAAGGAGCTTGGAAATCCCATCAAAACAATCTTTCATGTCAACAGCAACTTCATGCACATCAGATTGTATAAACACCTGCACATAAAAATTAACAATGTGAAAATTGAAATTATATTTTATTTATGCTTCATTAGATAAAGTGACATGATAAACAATAGGACAAGTTGCCGCCATGGGCTTGAATTAAAAATGATAAGGTCTAAAAAGACTGTCCTAAGCCCATTGGCTCTTTTAGTGAATATTATTTGGCTGGAAAAGCTCAATCTGCTCAATTTTTTCAGATATGTAAAGCGTTTGGTAACAACATCTATTCACCTGAATAAGTATATCAAAAGCTACTAATTCCGTTAAGTTGCCTATTTATAAGTAGAATATGCCGACTACGTCCACCAAACAGGGCCTTAAAATGTCGGAACTCGGAAGTGACTCATTCTGCTAAAATTGCTTAAGTTGTGGCTCAAAATGGCTGGATTATCTAAAAGATACTGATAGAGAGCGGGAAGAGCATGGGACGGGACCGGGCTTGGGCCCACTTCCGTGGGCCGGGTTAGGGCTGTCATTAGAGTTTATTTATTATTATTAAGTTAATGCTATGTTTTACTTTGGGCCTATTATTAGTAGAGTACTTAGTAGAGTTATTATGGGCTTAATTAGGATTTAATTAATTTGGGCTTGATTAGGGTTTCTCTTAGAAGGCTATTTATACCCCTTGCCAGGGTTCATTCTATCGTATCTTGGAATAAAATTGGTTTAAGCCTTTTGGCTCTGGGCAACGGTATTTTTATCGTTGATTATCTGGGCAACGGTTTACCCCGTTGATTTTAGTTTTCTGTTACACAACAATTGGTCTGACCTGCCGGATCCCGTCCCGCCAGGATGATGAGATCTCAGATCGACCGCTTGAAAGAGATCGTCGCCAAGCAAACTCGGATGAATCAAACCCTAGAGGAGCACGGCATGCGTCTGGCAGAGATTGCCGCATCCCTGGCAGCGCTTACAAAGGCACTAATTCCTCCGGTCACAACGGAAACAAGCCAGGACGCGGTTGGCAACCCCACCGTATTTGCGCACAGCAGCGACAGACAGCCGTGCAACGTCACTTCCTCCTTGGCTGCGTTAACAGAGGCTCTCGCGCCGCCAGCGGTGGAGGAGCATTCAACAGCGGTGGCTTCACTTGACGCGGCAGCAGCATCCTCGTTCGTAATTGGACTGTGCAGCACCTTTCTCATGATGTTGCCCTCGTTTAACGGAGAAGAACTGATCAGCTGGGTTGATAGGGCTGAGCAACAGTTCGAATTGAACTGTACTCCGCCAGGAAAGAAGGTGGCAGCCGTTGTAGTTGTGATGGAAGGGCCAGCCTTACATTGGTTGACCTGGTTACGGGCACGAAAGCCGGTCATGTCATGGGATGAGCTTACACAGGCATTGGTGGCTCCTTTTGACTCACGGTTTAAGGGCAATTGCTTTAAACGGCTGCCCGGAGGCAAGCAGACAAGGACTGGGGAGGAGTACATCTCAATTTTTCCTAAAGACACTGGGCAGCCCCCGGGGACAAATGTGAGCCGGTTTCCGGATTTCAACTTTGAGGACAAAGTTATTTTGAAGGAGGATGGATTGATAGAGAGCGGGAAGAACATGGGGCGGGACCGGGCTTGGGCCCACTTCTGTGGGCCGGGTTAGGGCTGTCATTAGAGTTTATTTATTATTATTAAGTTAATGCTATGTTTTACTTTGGGCCTATTATTAGTAGAGTACTTAGAGTTATTATGGGCTTAATTAGGATTTAATTAATTTGGGCTTGATTAGGGTTTCTCTTAGAAGGCTATTTATACCCTTTGCCAGGGTTCATTCTATCATATCATTTCATTTTCATCATTTTCATTTACCCCAGTGCCGCAAAGGCTCCCACCTACGGTGGGGTAAGGGGGGGTCGGATGTACGCAGTCTTACCCCTGTACTAAAGCCCAGAGAGACTGTTTCCGGATGACCCATAGTGAAAATCGCGTCCAAAACTGCATGGGCTGACTGCTACTCCATAACAAAGAAGCGCAAACAGTTTAGTGAGTCATTTTGCTTTATTCCATCATAATCTCAAACCAAAAAATAATGAATCTTTGGCTCCATTGCAAATGATGAAAAAGTTCATTCTATCGTATCTTGGAATAAAATTGGTTTAAGCCTTTTGGCTCTGGGCAACGGTATTTTTATCGTTGATTATCTGGGCAACGATTTACCCTGTTGATTTTAGTTTTCTGTTACAGTGTTACACAACAGATACACTTTAAAATTTATACTTAAATAAATAGAAGCATAATTTCTAAAGATAAGGTAAGGATATCAATTTCTCAACCAAAAGAATAATAACTCCTGCACTAGTTATTTTACACATTTTCAAACAATCCATCGGAAGAAGTAAAATAAGTTAGTGTTGAAGCCTACCAAATGGGTGCATCATACACTCTCCAACCCATGCTGATTTTTTTCCTAGACAGCAGGAACCCCTACGGGGTAAGACTGCGTACATCCAACCCCCCTACCCTACCGTAGGTGAGAGCCTGTTAGGGTTCTGGGATTGAGAACGGGTACAGGGACGACTTGGGGTAGCAGGGTACCCGGTTGAGGTCGTAACCTACAGCCGGTTAGGGTTACTCTTCTTCTTGCCCGTGGCTGGAAGAGCGCGGGGGGGGGGGGGGGGGGGGGGGGGGAGTCCGTGACTTCTCTGGGAATAATTTCTAAGAGCCTCTCCAGTGGTTAGCTAATTACTCTCATAGCTTGGCTAGCCACATAAGCATTTGCAACAAAACTAAAATGTACTCCAGTGGTTAGCTATGACATCTTCCTCATCATTTAGAAAAAAGGGGCAAATAAGCTCACGTACTAACCAAATAAGCCCTTATATAGGAGGCTATGTCCGGCCGTCGCCATTTGGGGTAGTTCCCGGTGGAAGTTTTTGATGAAATTTTTTGAGAATCTTATTCATTAAGTCTAGTTTACTCATACCAAATTTCAACTAAAACTTCAATCGGGAAGGCATTCAAATGAATTTTTGAAGATAACTGCGCAGTTAAAAGCGCAGTTATCTTCAAGAATTTACTAGGGTTAATAGTGTCAAATAATAGTCTCAATATACACAACTATGAAGAAAAATTAGTGTGTACCTGTCCACCTTGTGTTAATCGATCAGCTATGGATTGAACCAAAGGCCTCTGCACAACTCTTCTCTTATGATGCTTTTTCTTAAAATGAGGGTCAGGGCACTGTAGATCGGAGTAAATAACTTTTTAAAGTTAACTATAGTACTCCATAAATAATTTAAAGCCTGGAATCTTTAACAACACAAAACGTGTGGCCGGGTGGACTCACTAATATAGAAACCAACAGCAATGGTCCAGGGTATGTAGATACAATTCTCTCAAAAGACACTGTGGCATTTGCAAACATGAAATGTCTGCATATCAAATGTAATCAAGTAGAGCATAATAGCTCGTTTTCAAGAGGAAAGTTACAAAATTTTGAAAATCCTTACATATTTCTGAGACCTAGCTCATTTGCCCAGTACACAGCACGTTTAACCAACTGCCAGACAAAAGCACCCCCCAAAAAATTACTCATGTAAATGAGCATATAAAAATGTAATTTCACTAGACCACAAATATATGAAGAAGATTCGAAGAAAAAGCAAAATTTGCTTTACTTTTGGACGAATTTCAAATCCCAGATAATTCTTGGAATCAGGATATTGCTTAGCAAGATACAACAGAAATCTGCCACCACCTGCACACAATTGTTGTTAGACTCTAACTAAACAGCAAAAGTATGATAGAAGATAAATAGGAATACGATTGCTATCATAAAAAATAAACGTTTCTTTTTTGAAAAAGGAATAAATGGGAACTACTACTTTTATGCAATGATGACCATGGGTCCATGACAATAAATATCCGTAAGTTAGAAAAATACAGTAACATGCAAGAGGGCCATTGGACATGATCCACAAAGAACAAGCATTGTGGCATGTAAATTATACCCTTACCACAGCCTATATCCACCATAAGTGGCAATGATGAGTCCATGTATACTTCACTCCAGTTTGGCACTTCGGTAGGAGCCTTCTCAGAATAATATGCATTTCAGACGTACAAAAAACTCCGAGTGAATAAACCACATAAAACTCTAAAACTAACTTGAATGTGCTATTTTCAAAAATGAAAATTTAATCAGATGAACAAACCAATGGATGAAGTGTAGAATACCAAGAGGGAAGAGCGCAAAGGGTTAACATGCTGCCTTATCCGGACATGGCCCACCTCCTGCAACACCTTATATTAGCAACAAATCATTCGGGCGATCAACAAATTCATGAAAATATTCCTTACAAGAAACATACTACATGGAAAAAAGAGAAATGCATTTAATTTACTAAAAAGCCAGGAGATGATGAGCATACTCTTCTCTGCTGCAAAGAGCTTCAACTCATGTTCAAACACAAATTAAGCATATTCATGCTAAATTCAAGGGGATTCTACTAGCTCATCCAAAGCATACGATATTTTTGTACCTCTTTTAAAATTTAGTGGCTAACACTTTTAATTCCACATTTTACCACGCACCATTTTGACGGACACTGTCTTTAATTAGTTAATAGTAAAAAAAATTATTAAAAAATAATATTTTGAAATTTTAAATTGTAACAAGTTTAATGCTCCGTAAAGTATTTTATAATAGTAATATTTTTCATAAAATAGTTTGTACTCCGTAAATAAACACAGTCAAAGTAAAGTAGTTAGGGTATGTAAATAGGGTAAAGGTTTGAAACTGTTACACAATTCAACGTGTGTATAGATAAATTTGATTCTGTTTAGTTACCGTTTTACCTCGCAAAACTTATCAGTGAGGTTGAGATCAGCGTATTCCAATGCCACTAGCTTAGGGCTTCTGATTTGCCTTTCTCTGTCGCTCACGGAAGATGAAATATCCGCTGACGACGCAACCGTGGAGACCAACTGGCAATAGCACCGAAAGCGGCGGCGCGGAAGGTGTGGAACCGGAGGTGAAAGGAGTTTTCTGAAGGAGTGAACCTTAACTTTACCGGTGTAAATGCTGAAGATAACCCTCCTAGGCAGAACACAGTATATCACAGAAAGGGCCATTTTCTAGCCAGCACTTTCTTCATAAATCAAATTGTTAGCTGAATAGCTAGTAAAGTAAGAACGATTCCTAATCCCTGTCTGCGTGGAACTTTTGGTAGGCGGGAACTAGAATGTTCTGAACTTCTGAGTTCTAATCATGGAATGGGGTATGAAAATTGAAAAATGGCATAAACATAGCTTTTTCTTTTACCTTTGGTTAATTATTAATTTAAGGAAAAATTTTGATAAAAGGGAAAACTCTTAAATAAGTCTGTCTATTTTCCATAAAAAATCAATTGAGTCTACTTACTTTTTTAGGAATGAATAAGTTCATGATATAAGAAAAAACAACCAAATCAAACTTTTAGCACGTAATCAACCATTACCCGGTTACCTATCAAAAAAGCATTCGGTTAGATATCTTTTACTATGCACTCTACTATTTTTTGCATTTAAAAAAGTTTCCCCTTTTTCTTTTCTTTTTTCTCTTCCCTTCTCTCCTTCTCTTTTGGTCTTCTCCTATCCCCCAGACTTGCATTCTTCTCCGATCTTCACTCTCTAGTAGACCCTAGAAAATATACTCGTCTATCGTGGCTTGGACGGTGGAGATTGCTTGAGTGAATGAGACATAGCAAAAGACCGCAAAGGCGGTAATGTTATTTTAATAAAAGTAATATGTATAGCTTGACAAAGGAAGAGGAAAATAAATATTGATTACATATTATTGCTCTGTGCTCTTAAGCTATGTGGATGATTCCAATATATATACAATACAAGGAATCTATACATTAATGCCATGTATTATGGAAGACTATGTGATAAGGAAAGAATAAAAATAAATAATGCAGTAAGATGGGAAAGGTAAGTGAATGAGGTTTGATCTGCAACACTCCCCCCTCAAGCTTATGGTCGGTACATGAGCTTGGATATAAGACTTGAAAATTGGGCAGGGGGAAGATTCTTTGTGAAAACATTTGAAATCTGGTGGTGAGAAGGAACATAAGTGGTACGGATTTTGCCTTCTTTTATTTTATCTCGTATAAAATGACAATCGATTTCCACATGCTTAGTACGTTCATGGAACACTGGATTATTGGCAATGTGGAGGGCGGCTTGATTGTCACAGTGGAGATGAGCAGGGTGAGGAGTAATATTCAATTCTGCGATAAGAGTCTGGAGCCATGTGATTTCGATAACTGCGCTGGCCATAGAGCGATATTCAGCTTCGGTAGAGGAGAGGGAGACGGTAGTTTGTTTCTTAGTACGCCATGAAATGGGGTTGGTGCCTAAGAAAGTACAATAACCTGTTGTGGAGCGACGAGTGATGGGACAAGATGCCCAATCGGCATCAAGGCATTGAGATGTAAAGAAGAGCGGGATGCTAGAAGAATGCCACGATCAGGGGCTGCTTTAAGGTAGCGAACTGTGCGTATGGTGGCATCCCAATGAGGTTGGCGAGGAGCTGACATGAATTGAGAGAGTTGGTTCACAGCAAATGTAATATCGGGGCGCGTGACTGTAAGGTATAGAAGGCGACCGACGAGGCGACGCTAGCGAGATGGATCATCGAGCAATGGACCAGTGTCACTGGTGAGCCGGGTCGCATGATCCATGGGTGTTTCGGCGAGCTTGCAAGCAAGAAGTCCTACATCCTGAAGGATTTCCAAGGCATATTTGCGCTGATTGAGAAATATATCAGACTTATTGCGAGCAACTTCAATGCCTAAAAAGTATTTGAGTGGGCCAAGATTTTTGAGATGAAATTGTTGGGCTAAGTAGCGTTTCACAAGGGGAATGACTAAATCATCGTCTCCTGTAATAACAATATCATCTACATACACAAGTAAAATGGTTAAACGTAACTTGCGTTTGTAAATAAACATAGAATAGTCAGCCTTAGACTGAGTGAAGCCAACACGTAAAAGGGAATTGGAGAATGTAGCAAACCAGGTGCGAGAGGCTTGTTTGAGCCCATAGAGAGATTTGTGAAGACGGCAAACACGATGCTCCCCCTTTCGGTGAAAACCAGGGGGGTTGCATGTAAACTTCTTCATGGAGCTTGCCATGAAAAAATGCGTTAGAAACGTCAAGCTGATGAGTTTGTCATCCTTTGGTTGCCGCTAGGCTTAAGACTGTGTGAACCGTTGTGAGCTTGGTGACCAGAGCAAAAACGTCAGTATAATCAAAGCCTTCTAATTGGGAGTATCCCTTGGCAACGACACGAGCTTTGTAGCGCTCGACGGTGCCATCGGGTTTATATTAGATGTGATATAACCATTTGCATCCGATAGCATGTTTCCCATGAGGGAGCGGATGAAGAGACCAAGTGTGGTTAGCCTCTAGAGCAGAAATTTCATCCCTCATGGCTTGCATCCAATGTGGATCTTTGTTGGCAGCAGTGAAAGAACTGGGCTCCACATGTTGTATAATATTATTTATGTAATGAGTGTGTCCTTGAGAATAAGAACTGGAAGAAAGAAAATTAGTTAGTGCGTATGGAGGAGAAGTGGTGGAGGCCGTGTGGCAGAGGTAGTCAGACAGGTAGGCTGGTGGTTTGGAAGTACGTGTGGAGCAGCGAGTTGGAGCAGGGACAATGGGAAAAGGTGGTGGTTGGTCGGATAGAGTTGTGGGTGTTGGTGAATGATTAGTTGGAGAGGGAGATGGGTGAGCGGTTTCAATAGGTGGAGAATTTGATGGGGATGTGGGGGTGGGGTCGGATGAGGTGGGCGATGGAGGTGGGGAAGGTTCAACCATGGAAGGGGTTACAAATGATGCATCATCATGGTCAGGGATGGGAAGTGGTACAGGGAGAGGTGGGAAATTATGTTCTCACAAGATAAAATTGTTTTTGAAGGGAAAGGTGTTTTCATGAAAGATAACATCCCGACAAACAAAGCACTGATTAGTCTCAAGATCGTAAAGGCGATAAACTTTTTGACCTCTTGGGTATCCCAAAAAAATACACTTTCGAGCCCGGGGTTCAAATTTATGAAGCTTGTGATAGCCGGTAGAAGCAAAACATAAACAACCAAAAGTACGTAAAAACTAAAATCGGGAGCAGAACGATGAAAAACCTCAAAAGGAGCTTTGTTTTGTAAAATAGGGGATGGGGTTCGATTGATAAAATAGGTGGCAGTGAGAACACAATCTCCCCAAAAGGGGAGAGGAAGACCAGCCTGGAAGCGTAAAGCACGGGCCACATTAAGAAGGTGGCGATGCTTTCGCTCTACGACCCCATTCTGTTGTGGGGTGTCGGGGCAGCTGGTTTGGTGAAGAATGCATTGTTCAAGTAAAACCTTTTGAAAGATGGTGTTGGTAAATTTAGTGCCATTGTCGGAACGTATAGTTCAAACACACGTATTAAACTGATTTTTAACATAGGCTAAAAACTGAATGATTAAAGGGAAAAAACATCAGTTTTAAATTTCATTAAGTAAGTCCAAGTGATGCGGGAAAAGTCATCGACAATAGTTAAAAAATAAGAATGACCGTGATGAGTAGGAGTAGCATATTTACCTTAAACATCAATATGAATTAAATCAAAACATTTAGTAGTATAGTTGCGACTAATAAGAAAAGATAAGCGAGATTGTTTGGAAATTGGACAAATATCACATAGGTGCAATTTATTGGAACATCCCAAAATAGGGGTTGATAATTGAAAAACATGAGAAGAGGGGTGGCCAAGACATGAGTGCCATGTGTCTAGAGAGACGGCTAAAAGGGCTGCGGGTGTGGGCTTGTGACTGAGGAAATAGAGTCTATGTTGTCTACGGCCCCGACCAATCTCCTCCTTCGTCAAAAGTTCCTGAAAAACACAATAGTCAGAAAAAAATCTACAGTTTAAGTCTTTAGATAATTTAGCAACAGACAATAAGTTAAAACGGAAGGTGGGAACGTATAAAGCATTTGATAAGAAAAGAGTGGGTGTTAAAGAAATGTGTCCGATTCCGTGAACGGGAGCAACCGAGCCATCTGGGATAGAGATAGTATGTTTGTCGGATGTTGTGATAAGAGGAGAAGAAAAATAATTAGAATTAAAAGTAACATGATCAGTGGCACCTGTGTCGATAATCCAATCATGAGAGTAATTAGAAAAGGAAGCAAGAGCTAGAGTTGTACCTGCGAGATTAGCTTTTGGTTCATTTACCTCCCTAAGAAGACGAAGCAATTGTAGGATTGAATCATTGGAAACGGAAGTTTAGGATCGGAGGTTCGGGCAGTGGTAGCACTAGAATTACTATGTGTATTGCCCTTCTTATAATATTTGTGCCCTGAGGCATAACCATGTAAACGATAGCAAACTTGTTGGGTATGACCAGGGATTGCACAATGAGTGCAGCGTGATCGACTTGCGGAATTAGAGCGGGGTGGCGGATGACGCGAAGAAGCGGCATGGGCCTGGGCAGATGGTTGCAACGACTGAGCAGGAGGTGCAACCATGATAGCAGAGTGAGAGTCATTGTGGTATGATTGTGTTTGGAGGCGTTGCGTTTCATCTTGGAGAAGCAGATTGTATGCTTGATGAACTGCAGGAAGAACAGTAGTGAGCAAAAGTTGACTGCGGAAAGCAGCAAAGGTCTCCCGAAGGCCCGTGAGAAATTGCATGAGACGGCGGCGGTCAAGTTGGGCGGCATATTGTGTTCGTGCATTGCAGGTGCATGTAGGAGGAGGATCGATCAAATTAAGTTCACTCCAAAGACGTTGAAATTTGTTGTGCTAAACGGAAATGGAATCATCGTCTTGACGAAGGGTGGAGATCTGGTGCTCAAGATCATATATTCGAGGGCCATTGGAGGTGAAAAAATGGGCCTTGAGATCTGCCCATACCGTAGCAGCATCTGAAGCATAAAGAACCGTATGTGCTAGATTGGTATGAATGGAGTGCAAGATCCAGGACATGACCATGTTATTGACTCGATATCAGCGGCCGTAGTTGGGATCATCAGGGGCGGGCATGGGGAGAGAGCCATCAACGAAGGCAAATTTGTTGTGACCTCGAAGGGCCATCATCATGGCAAGAGACCAGGAGTTGTAGCCATCGATGCCGGTGAGATGATGTCCGAGCAAAGCAGAATCGGTGCTATCCGAAGAATGAATAAAATAGGGACTGTCAGAGTCTGGAGCGGAGGGATAATGTTTATGGTTTTGGGCAGTGAAGGCGGTAGGGTTGACTGTGTCATCATCCACGGAAATA